CATGGATCGGTGTATCGTAACAAATTTTAAAAAAATTGTCACAAAAACAATGCTAATCATACAATTTTCATAAAATAAAATTGTATGACTAGCATTTTTTTGATGGCGACAACAAAAAATTTTCCGACAACAAAAGTAAATTTGAAGTTGCCCTAAAAGTTTTTGTTGTTTTTTTTTCAACCGCAAGTTACGTTTTGTACTCAAACAAACATTTAAAAAAACATGTGCTTAACGTAATCTTGGATACACTTATATTAAATTTTTTTTCTTTTTGCCAAATAACTTTTTTCAAAAACGCTAAAAAGTCTTACTTCTTTTGCGTGGCATGTTTACATATGCTTTGATAATTATCTGATTCTGATAAGGTATAAATTCAAATTTGAAAACTAATCATCGTTGAAAATTTTTGCCAAATTTTTAAAGTTTGATAATTTCGTTATATTATTTGTGAAAAACAGATTTAAGACAATTCAGGCCGTTTCCAATGCATTTTTAATGCGAGGCGGTCAAAATTTTGGTTACTTTACGTTTGAGTAAACAAGGTCTCTGTCACTTGTGTTCGGTTACTAAGACACCCAAAAAATATTAAGAAATTAAAAAGTAAAAAATCTATATTTTTGTTTTCTAGAAAAATGCTAGTAATACAATATACATTTACGATTTTTTTTTCTGTACTTGTGAAATTGCATGAAAAATGTATAATTAGCTTTTTTTCAATATATGAAAATTGTATGAGTAGCATTTTTGGTCAACCCGGGAAATTAGTTTGAAAGAAAAAAACAGTTGAGAAGAAAACTATTACTTTTAAGATCCACTACATGCAAAATCTAGTGAGAAAAAAAATTTTTAAAGAGGGTTTTAGAATTAAACAGATTTCTATGGCTCCTTAGATTATACTGACATCGATTGGGGTGTATTTTGAGTTCGAACAAGTCGCCACGCTCATTTTTTTTTGTTTGAGCATTTAGAAATTTGGATGTTTGAATGAAATGGCGCATCCATTAGAAAAAAAAATTGACCAATTTGGCTTTTTTCATGCCCGTTTTTCCTCAAAACATGCTTGCAGGTAAACTGATTTTTTGTTTCCGAAAAAAGCATCAACATATATCCAGTATTTTAATTATTCCTTGTCAAAAAGTCAATCACAAAAAAAGGTTCTGCATAATTCAATTTTTTATGATGCTCGTTTTTCTTGCTTTAATGACATTCATTGCAAATTTTTTAAGAAAAAAAAACGTGGCTAGAAACGGATAATTTTCTGAGAGAAAAAATCAATTTGTAAAATCAAGTGCTGTTCGAGAACATGTTTTGAAACAACCAATTCGTCGTATTCAAAATTGGACGGCCTCCTACTAAATACAGACAAAATTAAATTATTTAGTTTCATTCCATCCTCTGAGTTTCGACCATCATATTCACGCAACAAAAAATTGAAACAGCTTGCGTGCCAATTATTTTTTGTTTTTCCAGACAGGTTTCAAGGAACTAAAAAAATTGATGCATTATTTAAGACTTCGGCTGACATATTAAAAATACTTTAGTTGAGCTTTTTACGTTTCTACTTTAATTACTTTTTATTTAGAAGGAGAAAAATTTAAGCGCGCCTAACCTAACAATACCCAAAATATTTTTAAGACGCCTAATTATTTTTTACTTAAATAACTACATGTCAATTCGATGCCAGCAAATTTAATAATATGAAAACTGTTCAAAAAGAATCTGAAAACATCCTTTCATTTTAATACTGAAGAAAGACTTAGCTATAATCATGCTTGCTGACTATAATGCAAAAATTTGCAAAAATAGCAAACTTTTGCGTGATTTTGCATAATTTTCATTACTATAATTCGAGAACTTTCAAAAATCACTTGAGTTTTCTAGGTAACAAAAAAACCAATGTTCGTATAATAAGAAAGTTTTTAAGCGAACACAATAAAAATTTGTGCACTTGAGAAAGCCAATGCTGAAAATGCAAATAACTCATTTTCAACTTTTAATATGGATATTTAACTGACTCTTATGCTCATGAGTAGGCACCCTAAATAAATGACTGGCAAACTACGAGAATGAAATTAAAAAGACGCACCTGATTCGTAACAATTGACTAGTATAAATTTGATAGTTATCCAATTGAAGTCAACTTTATTATATAATTTTATATAAATGGAGCGTTTTTGTATAAAAAATGCGTTTGAAGTGAAATATTCTCGACACCTAATGAAGTTGTCTGGTTTTTGGTATTATAATGTAAAGAAAAAAATATGCAATTTCCAAAAATTCACTATAAAAATATAACTTATTCACTATAACAGGAGGTTCAAATTGTGCAAAAAAATAAAGATCAAGTTTTAAACAACAATTTTAGTCAAATTGATTTATTGAATATAAAAATTGTTTTCCAAAGAACTAAATATCCAAATAGCCGTGCAAAAAAGTGGTGAAAAATTTGACTCATTTACGCTTAAAAAATTTTAATAACCGCTTACACTTACTTTTATATGATTCTATTCAGGAGCTTGAACTCTAAGGTTATCATAAATAAAACCTAAATTAGATTTTTGTGAAAATTTTGATCTTATATCAACCGTTATCTTAACCATTTTTGTAGCATGATAAAATTTAAAGCTTTTTGTGACACGAAAAATCAAAAACGTATACTTCCTTTTCTTTCATTCAAAATTTCGTATGAGTAAAAATTACCTGGAGATAGTATCTCAAATGTATGTACTATAGTTGTGTGTTCGGTATTTTCACTCAAAGTGAAAACTAAATTCTACCCAAATTAAGTCTAATTGCTCGAAGCATTTCTCGAACAGCTTTAAAATTGATGTAGTCCGTTTGGATTACCGGAATTAAAAAACTATAAAAGCTATGAGCTTTTACTAAAACGTCTCAGATAGGACTGAACTTAATCGTATTAAAACGTTTAGGTTCAGTCGAAATCTACAACTGCAAACCATGATTAAAAAGTACAAACAAGTTTTGTTATTTTCTTAAAATCACAGCTAACGCTAACTCAGTTACAAAATTAAAAATTTGTTGTCAAGTGAAGCGCATTTGGATCAAATAATTTGTCTCAGTCTAATTTGGACGAGCTTCAATTAGTTTAAATGCTTTCTCTTGCGAGTTTTGCCATTATATTGATGCAGTTTTTCTACATAACTTGATATTTTTACTTTCAGTCAAAGTTCGAGCACGTAGAGAGGCTAATTGGTGTTATATTCAAATAAAGTGACCACATGATTGAAATTTCTTTAACCAATCAGAATCTTTGAATACATCTCTCAATATTAAACAAATGAGAAAAAAACACTGAAATCAAAACAGATTTTCTTTCAGAGCTAATTCGAGCAAGCACCAAATATTTTTGTACTTTTCTGTTATAGCCTCGTATTTTTTGATTGCTTATTTCCGATTATTGCTTCTTATTTAAAAAAAGCTTCCACAATAGAATGTGATAAACTGTTGTATCTGCCCCCAAGACTGAGCAAAACTGCATCATCCCAAGCTAAAGGCAAACAGTTGAAAATACGATGGATAACGAAAAATGTCATAGTTAATTGATTTTGCTCTGTCAAAACCGCTCTGTTCGAAGTGAAAATTGATCGATACAAATCAAACGCAGTCAAGATATTCAAGGTTTCGAGATAATTGAATTCTAATTAAGATAAACATCTTACTTGCCTTAGCACTTTTTTAAACAAATATTTGGAGTGTTTTTGTCATAAAACCTAAAAGTTTGAAATGAGAATTAATCTCGGCAACTAATGAGATTTTCTGGTAATAAGAAAAAAAATTTAATGTAGAAAAAAGAAAATTAACAATTTCGTTAACAAAAATTTAGTGTATTTTAGCACAGAGCTTTTTAGCAATTAAATCGGATAATTAGGGCAGTCCATATCTTTTTGATGCAGATTTTATTCAAATACAATAATAAATTTTTTATCAAAGAAAGTTATCAACTAGTTCGTCTCAGCCAGTCTAATTTGAACGGACTCCCGAGGAATACAGGCAACTTCAAATTATTCAAATGCATTCGCAGCTTTTGCTCTACAATTCATTCTAGTTTCGAAAACATTTTCTATTTTCTTTTCATTCATTTCAAATCAAAATTCTCGGAGGTTTAGGTTTTTAACAGAGCGTCTTATTCTTGCAATACTTGAAAATTCAAGCATCTGCAATTTTTCCAATCGGTCAGTGTTAATATTAATAGCTTGGATTTGTTTGCTTGCTTTAAGATTTGAACAATTTTTTTGAGATTTTGAACACTCAATTTTGATTGGCTGAAAAAAAAACTTTCCAACATTTAGTCTTTCCATAAGAGATGCCACCAGAGTATAGCATTTCTAGCTATAAAATGAGTTTTTAATTTAAATAGGCAGTTTGAACTTTTTTAGCAAAAATTTTGTCTACACAAAAAAACTTTATTTTGAAAAAGAAACTCGTTTTATTTGATTACTATGGCCGGACTCTTCTAAGCCATTTGCAGAGGAACCGGCTACTTCTTTCACCAATTGATTTCAGTTTGAATTGAAGTGACTTTCTTCGAACGTCCAGGAAAAAAGACGAGATACAAAGTTAACGACAAGAAGCCCTGAAATTTCCGACTGCTCTTCACTTATCGGACAGGTTTTGGCAAAACACAATTATTTTTTAATGAACATTTTTCACTCAAAAGCAAGGCCAGTTCTAAAAAGATAATTTTTGAGTCTATTCACACAGTATTTGAAACAACTAGTCTGTCTCAATCAGCTTAGAACTATTTTTGAGCGGATTAATTCTCTGCCTACGCAAGGTTAGTGCTAAGTTAAAACTTTAATCTCATATTGGCATCCTCCATACCCACATTACTCTACGATAAATGCTCAACGAAAAAAACTTGTACTTTTTAGCTCAAGACATCAACATTTTTTTAATATGTTTTAACACAAACACAATTCTGAAACACAATTCGGTCAACCTAAAAAGTCAACCAAAACTTATGTTACAGATTTCTCGGTTAAGTTTTCAAAAAAAAATGAATTTGTTCAACTAAATAACGACCTGAGTCATATAACATTTTATTTTTCTGTTTAGGGTTTAATTCTTTTTATTGTTTCTGTTTAAATTAGGAGCAGAAAGTTTAACATTCCCCGGCACATTTCGAGTGAGTTCTCCGTCTTTGACCGCATTGAATAAAGTCTTCTCGTAAGGTTGGGTTTCCTTCATATTACTAAACATGTGCAGTGCTGTCTTCACTACCTTTCCCCTCTTCCCTGTACCCGGAATGAGCTTGACCTTGAACTTGTAGTTGGATAGGGCAGAATAGGGAGCACAAACTGGTAGTGCGAACAAGAGTTCATCGTCTCCAACTGGACATCCGGTTAACTCATCTAGCATGTTCTGAGTCACTCTGCTATTTTCCTCTTCCTCGTCTTCATCTTCTTCGTCGTCGTCTTTGATGCTTTTGTTCACATTTTGGAGTTCACTTTGAGGAGGGAGACTTAAATCTGACTTGGTTGGGTCCTCGTTCGGATCGTACAGTATTTTACTAGCTGGCTGTGCACTCTAAACAACAAATCAAGACAGTGCAAATCCCGATCGACATCAATTGTTGGAGATAAAACTGAGTTAATTATCTTTCAGCCTCATAATCAGTCAGGGGCGTTTTAAGAGTTTTCTCAAGGGAGGAAGCCAATTTTCAAAATATAATTAACAGATTGGAAAAATGTAGAACGATTCGAAGAAATATATCAGGTTAAAGCTTTCAGAAGAAAAAATTTAATGAGTGACATTTTTTTAAATAAAGTCAACCTAATATAGGAAAATTGGATCAATGGGTAATTTTCTTATTCCGCTGGGAAATCTAAAACTTAAATTCAGGGGCGATCTAGGAATTTCTCGAGGGGGGTGCGGCGGATTTTCAAAAAAATTTTTTTTTTTAGGTCGACCAAACCAATATAAAGACCCAAATTAGACCAAACTTTCTGCGCCTCAGGCAAATTTTTAAAGAAAAAAGCCAAAAAGGCGTTTTTAGGCACTTTTTGGAAAATTTCGACCAAAAAATCGCGTTCCCCCATCAAAATTAGTATAGATTGGCGCCCAAGGCACCTTTAGAAAAATTTTAAGGTCAGTCAGCCAAAAATGGATATCTCAAAATAGTACAAAGGGGGGGGGGGGGAAGTTACATCAGAAGAAATCTCTTACATAGCCCAACAAGTTCTAGAAGGTTGAAATCTCCCATAATTTGCGCAAAACGTTCAAAATTTGTCATAATTAGTAAAAATGGCATTTTTTGGCTATCAAAAATTTTAAACGTTTTGCGCAACTATTGTAGATTTCAACCTTCTACAGTTTTAATGGGCAGTGTAATAGTTTCTGATATAACTTTCTCGTCAAGAAACTTGGTAGTTTCCCTTTTGGTAAATTAAAATGGGCCAAATGACCTACGGGCATTCATAAATGCATTTTTGTGAATGATGGATGCACTTCTGTAATAGTTGAAGAATTTAAAAAAAAACAGAGCATTTAAAAAATAATCAAGACCTATATAAGTGAAAATAGTTGGCTTTTTTCTCTCCACCCTCCACTAAATAAGACATTACAAAATTTTTCATACATTTCGAACACATTGTCATACAAATACATCAGTTTCTACCGAGCTCAAAAATATATGGTCTTTGCACAAATCCTCAATACAAAGACCAGTAGAAATTCAACTGACCATACGTAAATAAACTGACAAGAGGACTTTAGTTTTCCCGAAATACCGTTTTTTAATTATATCAACACAAAGAAATGTTGTTTGGTTAAACCTGTCAGTGTTCAGAATCTTTGTGAATCTATAAGTGTGACGGAAATGGTACCAAACGCTTGAGGATACTTTAAATGGCGAGCAAACAAAGATACGAATGTCATGACAGTATAATTAATGCCAAATTGTTGACAATATTGGTTGCCTTGAGCCCCTTAATCGGTCAAAAACGGCGCTTTTTAGGTTAATTACCTCTTTCAACCCAGTTTTTACGTGCTGAAATGAATTTTAAAAATGGCTTCCGATGTCAAAGCACGATTAAGACGTTGACCGATTAAGATATTGCCATTAGTTAATTCGGCAATAACTAAATTTCCATTGTGTTTCTTATTTAGTCTACTGACCTTAACTCTGTTCTTGTGGTTGCCTTTGCCAGAGATAGCTGCAATCCTAGCCGCTTCTTTCTTCTTTTTCTTCTTCTCTCTGGTCGGCCCAGCCGAAGCCAGCAGGGCCATCCTCGTCTGTCTCTCCTCCTCGTCCTGATCCCCGTACTTCTGCTTCATCTTCTTCAACTTATTCTTCTGACCTCTCTTCACCTGATGTGCACAGCATACATATGTTCATTTTTCGCCATTTCCTTGATATTCAGCAGGAGTTTTTAATTTGTTATTCATTTGCATCTGTCTTTTTTAACGGGTATAGAGGAATAAATTCAAAATATAAGTGACGCATAGATAACATACAATCACACGGAGGCGAAGCGGAGCTTCGCACACCACTTGCCATTAAACTAGTTCTACCAAAAAAAAGAACTCTCGGCTAACTAGGCAGAAACTTGAGTATTCAATTAGCAACGAACAAAACTTACGAAGAGGAAACAAAAGCCGACAATCTTTGAGCAGACACAAGTAGGGCAGAAAAAATACCTGAGACTAGAATGAACAACACTTGCACTTTCAACAACAAGAGAAGTTGCATACAGCACAAGAAGAGAAAAATCTGTGATGTGGCAACTAAGCCGACAATCTTTGAGCAGACTTGAAGAAAATTTAAAACGTGTCAGAAAAGGTCTTTAGTGGGAAAAGTCTTGTTCCCGATTAGCAAGAGTGAAAATACCTGACTTTGTGGATTAAAAATTTTTGCCCTCGAATCAACGCAATTCAAGTTAACTATGCCGTACAACAAACCAAAACCGTATCGAAAACAAATATAAACTATTTAAAATCAGAATTGGTAAAATGACAAATTACAAAATTTCAACATCGATTTTAAAATCAAAATAAAATCCATGTTTAACAAAAAAGCTGAAAAAAGTACCAAAAAACAGGTTTCATTTTTAAAAACGGGTCGATGTCAACTAGACCGAAAACCACGAATCCGAAATAAAAGTTCAAATATTTTCAAGAAAATTATTTGAAAAAAAACTAACACCGGAAGCGGACTATACCTATTTACTACCTAAATGAAGGCACTTTTAATTGAAGTTTTCAGAAATTGAGCATGTTTGAAAATTACCATTCCTACACATTTGACCATTCTGTGCCTAGAGTTATTTACGGGAAAAACCTCTAGTACCCAATTGCAATACCCTTGCTTATCACAAGGCTAGATACACAAGCTATTTAGTTCCTGGTCTGTGTTATTTTCTTCAAAAAACAGATTTTTTTTTTCTGATTTAACAAATATGAGAAGGGTGTGTATTCGTTCGTACCTGGTGAATGTTCTTGCTCCTTTGTTCGTCCTCTAATTCCTCTTCTTCATCTCCACTGCCCACGTGACCACCCTCGCCTCCCTCTTTGATGATATCATTCTGTTTCAAATCTGGCTCTACCTCCTCCCCTCTCTTCCCATTCTGCTTCTAAAAATTGCTTCATTATTTTCACTTTTTTCAGCACAGTCAGATCTCTAAACACGAGCACCACTGAAATTAAATAGATGAAGCTGTTAGTTTGATCAACAAATTCAGTTCAACTTTAGTGCCAGGAAGCTTCCTATCCACAATGATTTTTTTGTAAAAGCCATAGAAAAAAAAACGCTCATATTTTCTTCCAAAATATAATAACGGGTATCCTATCTTAGGTACTACACAGGTTGCATTTGAACAGCGAGAGACTTCGCAGTTATCATTCGAAAGAAGAAAAAAAAGTGTGTTCCTAATACTTTTATACATCCATCAAAATGATAGTAACAGAAATTTTTTCTCTCTCCCCAAAATTTGCTAAATTTTCTCTTCAACCTCCGAGTAAGACTCAAGCAGCTAAAAAAATCAGCTGCACAATCTCTAACCTTTTCTCCTTCATTTGGACCCTTATTGATGGCTGATCTCTCTGCCACGCCATCATGTGCTTCGGAAGTAAAAATATCTTTTTGGACATCGTCTTGAGCTGGCTTAGGTTCTGCCATCTTCTCTGCCTGTGGACTTGGTTCCTCCTCGCATGAGGATGTGTTTTGAAACAACTCGTCTATTTGTTCTTGAGTCAGTCCGCCATCATCATCACCATCATTATCATTTGCACTTTTCTCTTCAGGTGGTTGCTGACTTGCGTCCGAGAAACTACACACAGATCCAGGCAAGCTCTGTTGACGAGAAATGTCGCCCTGAAACAATTCAACGTAAAAAACATCTACGTCTAACTTTGACTTAGATGCGAGAACACGACCACAAAGCAGCTCAAAAAGTGCAATAAGAAAAAGTAGACATAAGCTTCGAATTAGCAAATCTTGGCAACGTGTCGGATTCGAATCTGCGACCTAGCACATTTGAGTATCACTAACCGCTCAGCCACGGATATTTAAATCCACTAAAACTAGCCAACAATAACGCAGCTACACATGCAAATCAATTGCCAATTCGATGCAGCAAAATTATGTATAAATTATGCATTTCATTACAATTTAATAATGCATTTCATTTCATTTATTTAAGACTTAGGTTGGAAAAAATAGAAAGTTCGTTTTAATACACTTTGCTTCGCAAGTGTAATGATCTTTTTTAACTACATCGTACAATATGAACGACAAAGCTTACAAATCAGTCGCAATTAAGCTGGACAAAAACTATCACGGAAGAGAAAATTTTCAAAAAACCTTTTATGCAAAGCGGAGCTTCGCACCACTTGCTATTAAAAAAATATTCCAAAATTACTACGTAAAAAGTGTACTTGAAAAACAGACATATTTCATACTTATCAAGCCATTCTCTAACCCTTATATTTCATAAAACTTAACTTGATAAACCAAAACCAGGCGAATGAAACGTTCCAGACGGAAAATCAGAAAAAATTTTACGCCAAAAATTTGGAATATAAAATTATTATCAGAAAGTATCAAAATTTCAAAAATTTTGAGAGAAGGCAGTATTTAATGATTTCATAAGAAATTTAAAATGAAATATTTCAAAAAAGCTTCCAAAAACTGAAGAAAAACTAAATAAAAATTCCAAAAAAAATCAAAAATAATTTCAGCAATACTTCTTTGGAAGCAGATTCCTGCATATTACCGGAAGAAATTGAAAAGAATAACAATTACAATTTAAAATTGCTTACATCACAGGCAATATTCGGTCTGCGGCAACTAAGTAGACCAAAAAAGAGCAGACAAACAAAAATTCCACAAGAGGCAAAAAAAATTTCGTTTACAAAAAAAACAGCTCCTGACCGGATTTGAAACACGGAACTTTGTCTCCGCAATCATGTACGTTATCTCTACGTCAATTGAGCGGATTTTCACCAGGTGTTTGAATTTTTTATCAACAGCAGTTCCAAGTGATTCTGTTAAACTAGTCGTTAGCCTGAAAAAAAAATTCTCTATTCAGTGTCGGATACTAGAAACACTTCTAAGATTCACTTTACCGATGTGTTCAATAAGAGCACGACAATATGAATGAATTAAAACATTTTCATTTAGGTTTCGCTTCCTCCACACAGAAATTGGCAATTTAAATTGTCAAATTCAAAAAGATAAGTAAAATAGAATTTGAATTTAAATGACAATTATGAATAAACCGAAATAAGCGAATGACTTGCACCTCCGGCGCATCAAACAGATGGTGAGCGTGAAAAATGCTTATAATTTTTAAAAAATGAACTACGAAAATGAACATAACAGTAAGAAAAAACAGGCATCCAACACCGCCTTCTAATATACTCAACATATATTCATTCTACTTCATAAATTTCAAACATAGGCAAAAGAAAGTTGGAAAAAAGTCAATGAGCACAAGATAATAAAAAAAGGCTGACTTGATTTTTAGAAAATTTAGATTTTCACAAACAAAAAATAGATGGCCTTAAAGCTCTTTGAATTCTAAAAAGTTCATGATTGACATTTTTTGATTAAATTAACCCAATTTGAGAACCCAAATTGAAACTGAATCAATCAGTAAAACTTTTATTCCGCCAGGAATTCCGAAAAGTAAATTTCAAACTAGAATTCAATAACATTTAAATTTTTTTGATTCGATAGTGGAGTTAGCCTTCCTTTTAATAAAGGAACTAAATTGAACTTAAAAAGTACACAAAAAAGTCATTTAGAGCCTGAATAAACTATAGGACGCTTCCTTGAAAAAAATTTAAGAATAAATCATCGCGACCTATATAAGAGCCTGAACTACGTTCATCGACTTTAAATTAAAATTTCAACTTTAAGGTTCTTTTCCAACTTAAGTCGGGAATATCAAATTAAAAATTTATTTATTTTAAGTTTTAAAAATGTTGTATCTCGAAAACTAAAAAGATTTGAGCAGTCAAACTTGAAGGCAAGATTGGCAACCCTGAAAGCACTCTGGCAGCACCCCACAATAGGGTTGAGAAATTCAAGCTTAGCGAAGTTTTTGCCACAGAGGCGAAACTTCGCTTCGCAAACACTAAGGAGAACAAGACAAAAAGCAGCTTTATAAACAGTAATGAGAAAAAATATAAATACGCCTCAAATTAGCAAAAAAATTGGCTACGGCTGAGATTTAAACATGCGAACTTGAGATTAACTCTCACACACAATTAGAAGATTAAACACTGGCCACAAATAAAGCAGAGAACAGAAGCTATGCAAAGTTCGATGATACACTGAAACTTCCAAATAAGTGAACACTTTTAATGAACACTTATTTGCGAGTTAGGTTAGAAGAAAAAGAAGGTTTGTAATAACAAACTAAGCTGATTGCTAGTGTAAAAATGAGAAAAAAAATCTTTAAACTACTCAACACTGCGCTGCCCGACAAGCAATCTAACTTCACAATGATTTTTTAAATCCCTGTAGCGTGCTACAGAGATTGAGAAAAGTGCTGCGAGTTTGCTTGCCTTGAAAGTGAAGGCCAAATGATGAAATTTCCAAATAAAAATAATATTGGAGCTTATATGAACTAGATAAAAAAATCGTCGCGACGTTTGCATTTCTCAAACCAGAACGCCAACTGTTGAGATTTCTAAGCGGTATGATTGAGATTCGCTGCGATAATTCAAACTGAGAAGTTTTTTCTTTGGTTTCATAGTGAATATACGTCCCGAATGCGTAGTTGAGTAACTTACGGCTGAATTATCGTGATCCAATTGGTCTGTGTACTTGGGTCCCCTCTCGCCCTTGTGTCTGGCTATAGACTGTTCTTCCAGACAGAAGAGGAATCCGAAGCCCATGACCAACTGTGGCTGGGCTATCTGGTTCCTCCGGCCTCTGACCATGAAGGATCCAGTGGTCAGGTACTCCCCACTGGGGGCTGTCTTGGACACCTGGTTAGCGTGCACCCACCAAGCAGACTGCCATATCTTCGCATCCCACGCACTGCTGTAGCAGACTGCCATCGATGCCGCCTCTTGCAGAGTCCTCGGAGGCACCTACATATCATCCCAATATTAAGAAAAAAAACGGTCAAAACTTCAAGAACGTCACTTTCCAAAATAGATGACATTTTTCTACAAAAACAAGGCCCTGGCCGCTTAAGCTGAGAAGATTCCCCAAATCGGAATTCTCGATTGATCACTTAAAACAAAAATTGGCAGGGCATTTTTCGCGAAATTTTTCCAAAAAAAACGGTAAAAGTTTCAAAACTTCAACACTTTTGAAAGCTATTACTTTTTTCCATAAAAACTGGGATTGGCCGCTTCTGCAAGTAGGCTTTCAGCATATGTTGTTTCGATTAACTACTTGATATCAGAATTAGAAGGATAATTATCGAGAGTCAAACCCCCCCCCCCAAAAAAAACGGTCAAATCAACATCAAAAAATTTACTTTTCCGAGAAAAATAGCTATTTGTGAAAAAATTGGACGTAGCTCTTTATGAAGAAGAGAATTGCACAACAGAAACTTATCATAAAAAGAAACTTGCACTTGTTGTCGTCGACGTGTAAGGCAGTTAGACATCGGATTAATCACCTGTTTTCTACATACACAAACGTGCAATAGAATCCACAAATCAAAAATTAACTAATAAACTATCCAACGATTTTTTAAAAAAATATAAAGAAGTTTAACAAAAAAAAACACACTTGTTGTCGTCAAAGTGTGATGCAGTTAGCCATCAGAGTAATCACCTGTTTTCTACATACACAAACGTGCAATAGAATCCACAAATCAAAAATTAACGAAAAACTATCCAACGAATTTTTAAAAAATATATAAAGAAACTTACAAAACACACTTGTTGTCGTCGAAGTGTGATGCAGTTAGACATCAGAGTAATCACCTGTTTTCTACATACACAAACGTGCAGTAGAATCCACAAATCAAAAATTAACAAAAAACTATACAACGAATTTTAAAAAATATAGAGAAACTTAACAAAAAAAACACACTTGTAGTCGTCGAAAAGTGATGCAGTTAGACATCAGAGTAATCACCTGTTTTCTACATACACAAACGTGCAGTAGAATCCACAAATCAAAAATTAACAAAAAACTATCCAACGAATTTTAAAAAATATAGAGAAACTTAACAAAAAAACACACTTGTTGTCGTCGAAAAGTGATGCAGTTAGACATCAGAGTAATCACCTGTTTTCTACATACACAAACGTGCAGTAGAATCCACAAATCAGAAATTAACGAAAAACTATCCCACGAATTTTAAAAAATAAAAAGAAACTTAACAAACAAACACACTTGTTGTCGTCAAAGTGTGATGCAGCTAGAAGTCAGAGTAATCACCTGTTTTCTACATACACAAACGTGCAGTAGAATCCACAAATCAAAATGTAACAAAAACTATCCAACGAATTTTAAAAAATATAAAGAAACTTAACAAAAAAACACACTTGTTGTTGTCGAAAAGTGATGCAGTTAGACATCAGAGTAATCACCTGTTTTCTACATACACAAACGTGCAGTAGAATCCATAAATCAAAAATTAACAAAAAAATATCCAACGAATTTTTAAAAAATATAAAGAAACTTAACAAAAAAACACACTTGTTGTCGTCGAAAAGTGATGCAGTTAGACATGAGAGTAATCACCTGTTTTCTACATACACAAACGTGCAGTAGAATCCACAAATCAAAAATTAACAAAAAACTATCCAACGAATTTTAAAAAATATAGAGAAACTTAACAAAAAAACACATTTGTTGTCGTCAAAAAGTGATGCAGTTAGACATCGGAGTAATCACCTGTTTTCTACATACACAAACGTGCATCAGAATCACGTTAGAGAACTCTAGGTCAATAAGAACTTGCGATGCAAAAATGAATGACTACAATTGCGTGCAGCTGAATCGTCAAATCAAAAATTAACAAAAAACTAACCAACGAATTTAAAAAATATATAGAAAGTTCAAAAAAGTCTTGGAACTCAATTACCTGCATCATTAGAAATTCAACAAAAAGAGCTCTTTTAGTTAAAATGAAGATGAATATTCAAAAATCCGTTTTGCGGTAAACAATCAGTCAGAAATAGCAAACAGGTAATGTTTCAAAAATATCAGTTTGCAAAAATACAGGTCCCGGCCCGAATCGAAATCGAGGTCTCTGTTGTCTCAAGAATGGTTTTATCCAATACTCAAAAGCATCGTTGAATTTGAATTTATAGTAAAGAAAGTAAAACACATCTAGTGTAACGTTTTCACGAGCGAATTCTGAGAACAAAGATCATTACAGGAAAAAAGTTTCAGGCAAGGTTGCAACACCCTTGCCTATCGCAAGGTTAATAAAAATTCACGCTAGATTTAATAGCGAAAAAAACCAAGTTCGTAACTAATGAATTTTCTGGTGAGCCAAGCACCGTATGTGAGAAAAGTCGAAAACTGAGAAACCGAAACAAAGTTCAGAAATTTTAGAGGCGCTGTTTTAAAATTGATTTATCAATGTTTTCATTTTGCGTATTTTATAACATTGAATTTTGCTTTTGAATACCGAAACTTATGACAGTTCGTTATTCTTTGTTGACTTGTAATCTCCGATAATTACGGTTAATTTAGGTATGAAATGAAATGTTGCCAATCAGCCAGCTACCCGAAACCGATCTACCTAAAAACCGAAACGAGGCAGAAATAATAAATATGGATTCAAACTAAAAACAGAGCGTTGAGCTACTCCCGTAGAAATGGATTCAAACCATGTTTGATGCATCAAATAGTCAAAACGTAAAGAGGGCTCGAAAAAATGTGCTCAGACTGGGTTAAAAACTGCGGATGATTGTTGAATTAGCTTCAAGAAAATGACTCACAGGAGTTGCTTTGGGGTTTTTGACAATGACACTGGTGGCGCCGTGTATATCTGCATGCACATACAAGTCCCCCCTGCTGAGATACTTCTTCACTAGGAGTTCGTTCTGCTGCTGGTCGTGACCTCCAATTACGATGAAGTTGTCCGAACTGACGAACCAGAGGAACTTCTCAAACCAGTAACTTTTCCTCAACTTCTCGAGTCTGAAACACAGCCCGGGTTGACCTCATTTTACTGAAAATCGTGAACATAAAACTCCATACCATACAAATTGTCTATTACAAAATGCAAGTCATACAATTCTCATACTTGAAAAAAAAATGGTAGTCATAAAATTTGCATACAATGTTTTTAGAATGTATGCAAAGTATGTGATTTTACATCAGAAAGTTATGACTACCTTTTTGGCCAACCCGAGAAAACACCACAAATGACATCACACTCGAAGTACATCTTCACAATCTACAGACCTTGCAACTCCATGAACAGATAAGATAGACTATGTGGCTATCACAAAATACGTAAGAGAAAAGAAAATCTGCTTCGAGAACAGTAAAACTGAAGCCCTAGAATCGCTGAAAACTTGGTTTATTTTGCTCGTTTCATATCAAATACCAAGAGACGAAGCGGAGATTCGCACTACTTACGATACAATACAAACATGAAAACCATGTCTCGATCAAGATAACAAGGGTCCCATCTTAGGCAGAAGGTAGCTAATTGATATTTTTGAATTTTGAGTTTTACTGGTGCAGGATGAAATGGTTATACTGAAGCAGGATGATGTTCTTTCGATTGAACTGTTCATCTCAGATTTGATAGGGTAGTTACTAAAGTAAACAACTTGCTAAAAAACGGTCAAAATTTCTATAACTTTCCGATATCCATAACTTATTTTCTTCAAAAAGAAGTCCAAGGCCACTTAAGAAGAGAAGATTCCCAAAATTGGAATTTACGAGTGAACACTTAACCCAAGAATTGGCAGGTTAGTTTTCAAGATTAGTCAAGAAGTTTCCGAAAAACAGTCATTAAATCAGAAATTTGACTTTTCCTAGAATAATAGTTTTTGTGTGATAAGTGTTCGGTGGAGCCACTTATGCAGAAGAGATTCACGTCACCAGTTATTTCCATTGAACACAAAAACTGAGAATTGGCAGGGTAGTTTTCAAAAAAGTGAAAATGTTTATTTAAAAAACAAATATTGAATTTTTCGAGGGCCATAAATTTTGTTTAAAATGGGCGAAGTCGATTTTGCAGGCGAGCTTTCCACAACCCGTTATTTCAATTCAACCCAAAATCTCAAGTATGGGAGGGTCGATTTCACGAAAATCAAAAACGGTCAAGAAATCAAAATTTATTTTTTTTCGATTTCCATAACTTTCTATATATAAAAAAAATTGTGCGAACTTCCCACAAACTGTTCTTTAGATTGAATCAAAAATCTCAAAAAAATAAGAAGACTCAAAAAACGGTCAAATTCCGAGGATCATTACTTTTACTGTAGAAACAATTGGGTCCAACCTTCTATAGAGGGGAGCTTTCCAGAACCCGTTGTATCCATTGAAACCAAAATCTCATATTTGGAAAGATAGTTTCTGAGAAAACTAAAATCAAGCGTCAAAAAAAACCTGATCCGATAAGGTTTCATATTACCTGATTTTGACAAACAGTAATTCTAGTTTCACATGCCACACAAGTCATTTGAAGTTTAAACACAGCGGCGAAGCTGCGCTTTGCAAACACTGGCAACCACCCGCCAAAAAAGCAGCTTTAAAAAGTGAAATACGAAAAAAAAGAAATGAGCCGCGAATTCGTAAGACTTTACTAGGTATTGGCTTTGAACCTGCAACCTCGAAAATTAGATTCAATGCAGCAAAAGTGGCACCAAATACAAAAAGACAATTTCACAAGTAATAATTTGGAATAAAGCAAACTGAAGTCATTCACACTAACATTGCATGTAATAAATTGGAAAGCATAAAGCTACTTTATGTATAAATTTTGCATTAGAGAAAATTGCGAGATATCACCAGTTAGAAAATTTATGAAATCGAGATTTTATTATTGTTATGCTGTTTGAAACAACAAGCTTTTTTTCGGTTCATTGGATGAATTAAAAATTCAGTAACTGTTTTAACTTATATTTATTCAAATATCAAAGCACATTCTATCAGAAGACCGTAAAGGTGACACTAACGGTCACTTAATTTCGCTATTGTAATAAGCAACGGAACAAAACTGAGAAACGGAAAAAAAGCCGACAATCTTTGAGCAGACGCCAGTTGAGCCAAAAATGATTTTATAAAAAAAACTTTAACAAGTTGGAGGTCCACCCTAAAACTACAATGATCAACACTAGCAACTACCTTGATAGATAAGATACTACAGCGCAAAAAAAATCAGTGATGTGAGGAACCTGGAACTTGTTAGGGTTAAATAATAAAGCAAGTTCAATTTCTTGTACGAAAAATTCTTTAAGGAGAAAAAAGTCTTGTTCCCGATTACAAGACACTTGCTCTCACAAATGTAAAAAACCATATTGAGCTAACTGGCAACCATTTTGTCTAAGCATAATAACCAGTCAAAGTACTATCTGATGCCCAATTACCGCGGGGGAGGGTGCTAAAATTTTCCCAGCTTGCCATTTCTCCCAAATTCAAAAGCCGGGGCTCCCTTCAGTTTTGTGCCAAATGAAGCATCATGAGCGAGGGGTGCTAATTAGGCACGTTAGAACACAATTTTTAATCTGGCTCTTTTGACATCTAGACTTAACAAATGAAAAATGAATTCTGGTATTGATAAAATGAGACTCCTGAAAATGGAGCTGCAGGTCCGATTGTGGTCTCCCAAGTCAAGCAGAATATTCGACGGTATAGTTTGAAAATTCAACGCAGTCCACAATGTAACTGCTTGAAAGCAATTTATTAATGAACAATCTTTTCCAACTGAAATGGAATGGTTTGACTGACCTGGCGGAGAAGTCGATCTGCTTGAGTGAGTGCTGCGTGGCTCTCTCCGCATTCTGAAATGCCTTCTTCGACGCCTCAATCGTCTTCTGTTCCTTCTGAGTGGCAACTCGCACACTGTCAAAATACAGTCTCGCATTCGCATACGCACTCTTTCCTTTTAACACCACACAGAGTGACCAATTATTATTTTACCAAACAAAAAATAATAATATATCTATATTTCCGATGACCAAATAATGACCTGCAAAAACAAAAGAAAGAACTTAGCATAAACGTAAGACATTCAATTTCAGATCGTCAGATCGTGTATTTCAATCCCCTGTCATGACGAGCTCTCACTTGACCTCTAGCTTCAGTTCCATCACAACTTGACCGATTTCGATTGCAATTGTGGTACCACGTGATATATTCTAGACGCAAAAAAATAGCTTGATTCGCAAAAAAACGATCTTCGCTCAACAACCTAACTCAGTCTGAAATGTGAAGAAATAATACAAAACGGACTACTCTTAGACAAGCTGACTGGCCGCCTTTGATAGCTCCTCTGACTCACCGAACCAGAATTAAAAGCACAAAAAAGTAGCCCAAGGTAAACATTACGTTTACAAAAAAAAACATAGCCAACAGGCAGGGAAAAAAGTCAGTTTCCAACTGGATTTTAATTTTTTGAGAAAATTTACTTATTTATAGAGTTTTCTCAAGTTGGGTTAATTTGGTCGAAAAAAGGTCAACTGCCTAATTTTCTTGAAATTCAAGGGCTTAAAAGTTCAAAAACTTAAAAATCTATCAGGTTTTTTGCATCATTTGTATTTTTGTTAAAAGAAATCACCCTTATTTTCCCTACAGCAGATAAGTTTGAGCTGAACATGAAAAAATCAATTGTCAAACCTCAAAAATTTGAACTTGAGCGTGAGAAACTTGTAAGAGTTTTCCTGAAAATTAAAAAAAAATAAACAAACACAACCTAAGAACGTGTCTTCAATTCGACCAATGAAGTTTAAAAATATCTGAATCCTCCAAAAGTTTGAACACTTTCGGCTTTTGGAAAGACAATAAACACAGACTCGAAGATGCACCTCGTGAACACAAGCAGAAATGGCAGAAAGAGATTTATGAAGCAACCTCAGGAAAAAATACAAAAACAAGTTTGGGAAATGGGCATTACAACCTTAGAAGCACCATGCGCAATTTTATTCGGACCGGCATACGCGATTAACATTTGGCTTAGCTAGTACACAATTCGAAACCCAGCAACTCCAGAAGGAGAGTCTAATATCTTCACGAATGGGCCTTATAACCTTCCTGACTTATACTTAAAATTTTGACCCCCTTTCAACCATATCTTTCAGTTGGTATTAAATTAGCCTGCGTTTTGAAATCCTTCGCATTGGCGCGAAAAGATACGCTTATACTGTAATAAAACTTAACTTCTAGATTGCGACTTCAAATGGAAAAGAAGTGAGCTCATAACATAACACAGTGTTTGCTTGCTTAAAGAACAAACATAGCCACAGCCATTAGGAAAAGTGTCAATGAACGCAACGTTTTTTTAAGTTGAAGAAAAAATATTTTGCCTTGAAGCTCCTCGAATTTCAGGCACAATTTATGATTGACACATTTTTGAATAAAAATGGCCCAAATTGAAAAAACTGAATCAATAGGTACATTTATTATTCCGCTGGGAAATCTAAAAATTGAAATCAATTTTCGAAATTAGAAGTCGTTCGTCATTCACGTTTTTTTCGCGCCATTTAATAAATGAAAATTCTAACTGCAAAAAAAATCAAAACTGGAGTGAAAAAATAATTCAAGACTGTTTCCAAAAAACATCATCAAGAGCGATATAAGTGTCGTCACTATAATCATTGACACTAAATAAAATTAACAAATGTTCGTTGATACCAACTGACCAATAAACGATAACAAATAACTCAAAATGGTCACCCTGCCTATGTCAATATCCACAATGGCACAATGCACTTCGCTATCGTCTTCGTTTTTCTCTTCATTTTCGTCTTCACTTTCGGACGAGACTTCGTCGTAGAACTGGCTGAAAACATCATCCGATAACTTCATTTCAAACTTGTTCACGTCCAATTTTAGACGTGTTATTTTAGACGCGACCGGGTCATTCAGGGACTTAGCATCCTCAACTATTTCTGCCACTTCGCTCCACGACATCTTATTGGCCAGTGCGCTTCTAATCACAGCTAGCGCTTTATCCACAGACTGCAGGTTTAACTTAATCAGTTCTCCCTTTCGTCTGCTCCCGATCTGCTGCGTCTCCAACGTCTTCAGTCTTTGCTCGTGATCAATTCTTATATTGTCCAGTTTCTTCAGAATATGTTTTTCCTGCTGAAGAGTCTTCGCATCTATTTTCTGTCCTTCTAACAGACTGAAGAAAGAGTCCACTGCTTCGTTGAATGTGGCGAAGCTTTCATGAGGACTGTCTAGGATATGATCAAATTTGTAGGGACTGAAATCGAGGAAAACTTTAACCGATTTTTCCTCGCCTTCTATTTTAGCTTTGTCCAATTTATATGTCACAAAAGCTTCGTACGTCTCGGCCTTACGTAATTCGTTGAAAATAACTTCGGCCGAGTTCAAAACTTGCATAACTTTCGCAATCAGTTCTTTCGTGTCTGAAAACGCACTCACTTTAACTGCAGGCGACAGATTAATGGCTCTCAAACTATGGTCAATCAAAGATGGTCCATACAAGGTGTGTGGGATGAGTACTCGCTTCAGAGGGTCACTAGGCTTACATTTCAAAAACAGTTCTTCCAAGTATGGTTCTGTCAACAACGGCGCCTCCTTTTTTGCTTCTTCGTGCGGGTATTTCTGACCTACAATGAACTTGACATCTGTGTTCTGGTCTGTTCTCGGCCTCAGTGCATTCAAAATGTTGTAGTCAGCGTCACATAGAAATATATTTCCTCTGTCGTAAAACTCGACGATCACGTGATACAGTATCGAGCTAAACCCGAACTGGAAATCGACTATTCTATCAACACCTAGTTGTTTGATATCCATCAGAAACTTATTCCTCGTGTGTTTTCTCAACTTCATCGAGAAACTGGACGGGGCGGGACTCTTTGGCCACTCGTATGTAGTTAGATGGAACCGAATTCCACTCTCAATCAGAAGCGTTCGTTTCACTTCATCTTTTGAAAATTTCAGCAGATAAGTTCGATTGTTCACGTCGTAAATATTGCCAACACGACTTCCCTTCACGCATGTGTTCAACTCGTTGATGGCCGCAAATATGTCAATAGTAGAAAAACGGTTCTTCATTTTAAGTTCACATTAGTTTTCTAAAATCACAGTTCAGAAGTTGAGAGCTTTCATTAAAACATTATGGTTTCAAATTATGCGTGGACTTCAGATTTTTGCGAAGGAAAACTCGTTCAATTTTTCTTGTTGAACCTCTTTGATTTCCTGGGAACTTACATTACCTAGAACTTCAAAATAGAGAGGTGTTCACATGCCTTCACCCCCCCCCCCCCTAAACCTGCTACTGGTTGTGCAAAAATAAACAATATTTTCTTCAACTCTATTCAAATTAAGTACAAAATGTCAGCTATTCCACATAAATTAGAAACAACATATTAAGACTATTTACAATCAATCAAATCTCATCATGACAAACGGCCACACAAACAGCACAGTGATCATAGGTCTTAATAAGGATAAGAAAAAAGTTGAAACTCCTCAAATGATCAGTCAGAAAAATATTGGTTGACAATAAAAAAACGAAAAAAAAAACAACTATGGGCGAAAAGTTTTTAAGGCAATTTAAAAAAAAACAGGCCAACAAAAGCGTTTTTCGGCCTTTTCCTGGAAAGCTTTGACCAAAAAAGCGCGTTTTTTCGGCGTGCGCTACCCCCTAAAAATAAGTTTACATTGGCGCCGTAGGCTCCATAAGAAAAATTTTAAGGTCAGTCAGCCAAAAATGGATATCTCAAAATTGTACAAAGGGGAACCCTTTCGGCTGGCAGGGGTTGGAAACCCCTGCTGGGGAAGCTTCCGCCCCCCTCCTAAATCCGCTGATGCTGTAGAACCTCTCTACACGCTTTTTAGGGGGAAAATGAGTAACAACAACAAAGGTGAAATTCTAGTTCTTTTGATTTCTTTTTGTTCAAACTACAGTTTTGGTTCTGGAAATCATGATGATAAAATCGAAATAAGCGACGTGGACTTTTTCAAAGAAAAGTCGTTCACTTTTTCTGGTTGAACCCCACTAATTGCCTGAGACATTACATTACCTAGAACTTCAAAATAGAGAAGGGTTCACATGCCTTCACCCCCTCCCCTAAATCTGAAACTGGTCGCGGTAAAATAATTAATAGTTTTAAACAGAAAACACAAAAAAGTATATAAAAAAAAGAAAACGTGCCGGCGAAAAGCTCGAATCTGCCACGATTGACGAGTTGTTCCATGTCATAAGTGGCGATAATACAGCTGATACCGGTACACGGGGAATTTCTTCGGAATCAAGGATAGTAGCTGGGTTATGGGGCAGAGCATTCACGGGACTAAGGCCATTCAAACCCAATCCAGATCTGATCAATAACATCCGGTTAAAGGGTCCGTCAAGCGATGAAGATAATTGTTTGGAGACATCTACCTTCGCCAACGATGTTGCATCAATCAAACCTCCGATCATCTCGAGCTGGATATTGCGAAGAAGAAGAATACACAAATTGCTCAAATCAACTGATTTCGCGTCGAAATGAAACTACTTACCTTTGGTAAATCCATTAAGAGCAAGAGCAAGATATCCTCGTACTCACCGTTCTTGGTCCGGCTGATATCCTTCGGCCCTTTTGGCCACATAAGACGTTTAATAGACACCAAGTTTGATACTAAAGAACCCATTTTGCTTGACGCCCGGTATACATTATTTCGTTTGTTGGCTCCACTTTTTTCCTCCATAAGTAAGGACTATTTTGGTCCATATTACGTTCCCATTCGTAGTAGCACTGAGAAGAAATGGGTTTTCTTTTCACTTGCCGCACCACCAGGGCTGTACATCTCAAGTTTGTGCCGTCACTATACACCAGCTCATGTGAATAGGCATCGAGCGTTTCAGTGCACCGCGCTACGATTCGCAAGGAGGGGAAATCTGTAAGAGCAGAGCCAAGTGTTAGAAAGGCTAGCACCAACAGCGTGGGAAGCAGCATGTAGATTTGCGGTTATGTATAAAAAAAATCGAAGGAGTGACGGCCGATTACCACCTGTTCAAAGCTTTTTTAGATTTTGTGTTTTACACGCTAGAAAACAGATTAATCTAAAAAGCTTTGAAAACGTTTTTCTCGGCACTGAGACAACTTTTTGAAATTTTTTTTGTCTTTGAGATCACGACTGAGAAGGCTTGAGTATAATATTTCACTCAACCTTAATCCAAGATTATTTGCGTTACCTAATTTGCGTGAAAAAAAAGTAAAAAAACTAAACACCAGAAGACAAAGGTCCTCCCCGTGCTAAATTGTCAAAAGTAATTAAAAGCAATTCGTGTATTCATATTTTTTCTTTTCTTCCCAAGTTACTGTAAAAAGTTCCGAGAAAAATTCTTGATTTCTGAAAAACCCATTTTCAGTTTCTTTTCTGAGAAAAATATTTTTCGAAAAAAAATTTTATATTTAGATTGAGAAGATAGGGGTCTTCAGCAGACTGCAACACCAATCATCAAAATGAAGTTTGGAGACTTAGTTTTTATGCTTTTTGAGATTCACAAATTTTGAGTTTTCACAAAAAAATGTTCTTAAATGCACTACAAAAAATCTCCAAACAAGAGCCGCCAATTCCCATTACCATCGTCACCACCATCAACGAAAAAATTATCGGCATAAAGGACGACTCAACAAAAAAAATCAATAGAAAGAAACACGAAATTGTGGGAAAAAAACTGAATTAAAAATAAACTAATATTCAACTGTTGCTTTAGTAATTATCTTTGCTTGCATTTATGTCTTAAACTTTATGCTCTTATTTGTTGCAAATTGTGTTTTTCCTATTTTGAGAGATAGAGGTAAAAGTTGTCGATCACAACGTGAAGATAGCCGCCTATCACAAACAAAACTTTATGGTGTCGGCCGCTTAGCGGGCTGTGTATGGATGCCCAGCTAAGATTGCGTCCTTCTTCCACGAACGCTACTTGATCGTCTGCACATTTGAAGCTGTCTTTGCCAAAAAGAACTGTTTCTTTTAACATCTTGCCAAAAAAAAACTTATCATCTTTAAAAAAGGTTACTTTGGAAGAATCTGGCAAGATCTTTTGAAGCAATGCATCTTCTTTTTGAGTATCTTGCAAGATCTTGCAAGATAACCTCCCTTGCCTTGATCGACTAGATATTACGCTAGCAAAACTATATACGTCGGACAAAAGGCTTGCTAGGAATAAAGGGTCCTTTCTACTTTCTATCTTAGAAAGTAAATCTAAAATTCGCTGAGAAATATTTTATTAGAAAAGAAGTTAGTATGAATTTACAGCAAGTTGCCTTTTGACTCAATATCTATTTTAAGGGTGAGATTAGAGATATTTTTACTGAGAGTAGAAATTATTTTAGAGATTGGTTGGGGTGGTTGAAGAGAGTGGTGTTGGTGTTAGAAGAGATATTGTTGGGAATGAATTCCCGTAGTTTTGAGCTTCTATTTATACTCAGATGGAAAATCGTACCACTTTTCGTATCAAATGAGAAGTTACTTCTTAACTTCGTATTCTCTATTCGTACATTCGTATTTTACGAGAATAAAGTTTCGTTTGCTCGTATTTTACGAGAGGAATCGTTAATATTCGCATTGAATGAGAATAGTCGTTTCAATTCTTAATGCTTAAAACGTCTAAGGATGTTGTTTCACATGCATTTGTAGACACTGGACGGGGCAAAGGAATGTTTTGCCAATTATTGACTGTTACATCTTTGAGGTTAACAGTCAGAGTTACATTTTGCATGTAAGTTTCAAAAGTGTCCAATTCAATCCAAGAACGGCCATCACATTCGTTATGATGTTTGCCGTCAAATTTGCCAGCATGAGCATTGGTTACTGTTTTAACATTAAATTTGAAAGGAATATTTCCAATACTAGCATAGCCTAGGTTAAGATAGCCTCTGTCGGCGGCCGATTTACATTGATCGGCAGATAAATGGAGATCAGTAGTGATCATATTTTGTCGAGCGTCGATACCACTCGAATCAAAAGAATCGCAGAACCAACGCATTGATTGGTGTTTGATTCGACACATTGTCGCATTTACTTTTGTGCGATAATGTCTCTGATATAGAGTAACATAAGCATGGGTTACTTTAATATTTTCTGGTTGGACTTCGCAAGGTGCTACTTTATTTAGAGAGAACATTTTGTTAGAAGTCATTAGTTGACAATCATAATGAGCAACCCGAAGATTATTTGCATTATTTGCATATAATTGTTCTTTCGGATCAAATGCTGAGGTTTGATTCGAAAGTATTATTAGAGTTAAAAGACCAACCAAATAAATTTTTTGCAAATTTATTTTTTGGTGGTGAATGATAAAAAAAGAATTTTTAAAATTACTCACTTTAAGCATTTCCTCGAGAGTGGTTAGAACAGGATCTTGGTCCATTAGTTCACCAGTTCACTATTTGGATTTGTCATTTTGTGGATTTTTTGTGATGGGAAATCTGAGTTAGATTTCAATTTTTGTTGAGGAATTTAGCAGATTTACTTTTTGGAGAGAGAGGTTTTGAATGCAAGATGTGGAATTGAGCAAGAATGAAAACAACTGTATATCAGTTAGTTTTTAAAGGCTGTTTTTGCTTTTTTGCAAATCTAAGCTCTGATTGGTCGTTGTTATTCGGCGTCTTTCGGAAGTGACTTTTTTTAAGTCGTAATTCCTTCGCCATTCGTTTTGTAATGTTGTGGTTTTTTCCACTCTGGTTTAATGTCGTGGTTTTTCCACTTAGTTTTGATTTGTTGAGATCTAGCAGTGAAATGATTTTTATTCGTTTATGCTGATGTTAATTTTTAACAACTGCATTTCCCTTCCCTATTGGAGGATGCAAATGAAAAAAAAACATCTCTTCATAAAAGAGGACTAAAAGCAACATCATTTGTTTGCTTTCCGTTCAGTTTTAACTATCTGTATTTTATCCTCAAAAAAATTTTTCTTCGTCCAAAATGAATTTTATCGATCCTGAAGATAATCTGGTGGACTTCCCGGAGAAGTTTCTGAACTTACGGGATGAGCTAAATTTCAAACATGAAGCCTTGCTGGAGGACAAGGAAGTCGAGAGAAGGATGGCAATCTACGACGGGCTAGTAGAGAAAG